CATCACGACCGGCCCCTCGGCCTCGGCGTGATTATCTATCTCAAGACCGGCTTCCTCAGCGCCGCGAGTCTTGAGCTAGCGATCGGGCTCACCATCCCTTCCCGGATGGTGACCATCGCCTTTATATGACGATCGGCTTCACCATCGCCTCGTCATCATTGTTTGGACCGACTCCTCATCGTCGTCGTCCTCATATCACGACCGGCCCCTCGGCCTCGGCGTGATTATTTATCTCAAGACCGGCTTCCTCAGCGCCGCGAGTCTTGAGCTAGCGATCGGGCTCGCCATCCCTTCCCGGATGGTGACCATCGCCTTTATATGACGATCGGCTTCATCAGCGCCTCGTCATCATATTATAGGACCGCCTCCTCATCGTCGTTGTCCTCATATCACGACCAGCCCCTCGGCCTCGGCGTGATCATCTATCTCAAGACCGGATTCCTCAGCGCCGCGAGTCTTGAGCCAGCGATCGGGCTCGCCATCCCTTCCCGAATGGTGACCATCGCCTCTATGTGACGATCGGCTTCACCATCGCCTCGTCATCATATTATAGGATCGACTCCTCATCGTCGTCGTCCTCATATCACGACCGACCCCCTCGGCCTCGGCGTTATTATTTATCTCAAGACCGGCTTCCTCAGCGCCGCGAGTCTTGAGCTAGCGATCGGGCTCGCCATCCCTTCCCGGATGGTGACCATCGCTTTTATATGACGATCGGCTTCATCAGCGCCTCGTCATCATATTATAGGACCGGCTCCTCATCGCCGTTGTCCTCACATCACGGCCGACCCCTCGGCCTCGGCGTGATCATCTATCTCAAGACCGGCTTCCTTAGCGCCGCGAGTCTTGAGCTAGCGATCGGGCTCACCATCCCTTCCCGGATGGTGACCATCGCCTTTATATGACGATCGGCTTCACCATCGCCTCGTCATCATTGTTTGGACCGACTCCTCATCGTCGTCGTCCTCATATCACGACCGGGCCCTCGGCCTCGGCGTGATTATTTATCTCAAGACCGGCTTCCTCAGCGCCGCGAGTCTTGAGCTAGCGATCGGGCTCGCCATCCCTTCCCGGATGGTGACCATCGCCTTTATATGACGATCGGCTTCATCAGCGCCTCGTCATCATATTATAGGACCGACTCCTCATCGTCGTCGTCCTCATATCACGACCAGCCCCTCGGCCTCGGCGTGATCATCTATCTCAAGACCGGCTTCCTCAGTGCCGCGAGTCTTGAGCCAGCGATCGGGCTCGCCATCCCTTCCCGGATGGTGACCATCGCCTCTATGTGACGATCGGCTTCACCATCGCCTCGTCATCATATTATAGGATCGACTCCTCATCGTCGTCGTCCTCATATCACGACCGACCCCCTCGGCCTCGGCGTTATTATTTATCTCAAGACCGGCTTCCTCAGCGCCGCGAGTCTTGAGCTAGCGATCAGGCTCGCCATCCCTTCCCGGATGGTGACCATCGCTTTTATATGACGATCGGCTTCATCAGCGCCTCGTCATCATATTATAGGACCGGCTCCTCATCGCCGTTGTTCTCACATCACGGCCGGCCCCTCGGCCTCGGCGTCATCATCTATCTCAAGACCGGTTTCCTCAGCGCCGCGAGTCTTGAGCCAGCGATCGGGCTCGCCATCCCTTCTCGGATGGTGACCATCGCCTTTATATGACGATCGACTTCATCAGCGCCTCGTCATCATATTATAGGACCGGCTCCTCATCGTCGTCGTCCTCATATCACGACCGGCCGCTCGGCCTCGGCGTGATTATTTATCTCAAGACCGGCTTCCTCAGCGCCGCGAGTCTTGAGTTAGCGATCGGGCTCGCCATCCCTTCCCGGATGGTGACCATCGCCTTTATATGACGATCGGCTTCATCAGCGCCTCGCCATCATATTATAGGACCGGCTCCTCATCGCCGTTGTCCTCACATCATGCCCAGCCCCTCGGCCTCGGCGTGATTATCTATCTCAAGACCGGCTTCCTCAGCGCCGAGAGTCTTGAGCTGGCGATCGGGCTCGCCATCCCTTCCTGGATGGTGACCGTCGCCTTTATATGACGATTGGCCCATCATGGCCTCGTCATCATTTATTGGAACGGCTCATCATCGCCGTCATTCTCACATCGCGGTAGACCCCTCGATCTCAACGCGATCTTGAGCTAGCGACTGGGCTCACCATCCCTTCCTGGATGGTGACCATCGCCTCTATCTGACGGCCGGTTCATCATTGCCCCGTCATCATATTTCGGATTGGCTCTTTTCATCGCCATCCGCGCATCACGACCGGCCCCTCGGCCTCATCGTGACTATCTATCTCAAGACCGGCTTCCTCAGCGCCGAGAGTCTTGAGCTAGCGATCGGGCTCGCCATCCCTTCCTGGATGGTGACCATCGCCCTTATGTGACGATTGGTTTCATTCTTGCCTCGTCATCATATTATCGGATCGGCTCATCATCTCCGTCCGCACATCACGATCGGCCCCTCGGCCTCGGCATGATTATCTATCCCCAAGACCGGTCTCAATCATTCCTTCATCGGATGGCGACCGCTGCTTGGACTTTTGGATCAGCCTCGTAGTGCTGACGACCTCGCATCACGATCGGCCCCTCGGCCACGACGTCACACCCTATTCCAACACCGGCTTCATCAGCGCCGAGTGTGTTGGGCTAGCGATCAGGCTCGCCATCCCCTCCTGGATGGTGACTATCGCCTCTATATGACGATCGGCTCCATCATCGCCTCGTCATCATATTTCGGACTGGCTCCTCATCATTGTCATCCGCACATCGCGATCAGCCTCTCGGCTGCGACGTGATTATTTATCTCAAGACCGGCTCCCAGCTCCGAAGTCTTGTTATAGCGATTGGGCTCGTCATCCCTTCCCGGACGGCGACCGTCGCCCCCATATGACGCACGGCTCATCATCGCCTCGTCCTCACATTTAGACCGGCATCAGCGCCGAAGTCCTTATCTAGCGACCAGGCTCGCCATTCCCTTCCTGGATGGTGACCGTCGCCTTCATACGACGCATGGCTTATCATCGCCTCGTCCCCATATTCGGACCGGCTCACCAGCGCCATCGTCCCCATATTCGGACCGGTTCGTCAGCGCTGTCGTCCTCATATTCGGACCGACTCATCAACGTCGTTGTCCTCATATTCAGACAGGCGTCCACCGCCTCGTCCCCCTATTCAGATACAGCGAACATCTTGCGGTCTCCGGCCGAAAGGCTAAAGGAGCCCAGAGTTCAGCCATATATCGCTCTGTCATCTTTATTTGATGATGAAGAGCTCATTTGTAGGCCCATCGGCCATATATCGCTCTGTCATCTTTATTTGATGATGAAGAGCCCATTTGTAGGCCCATCGGCCATATATCGCTCTGTCATCTTTATTTGATGATGAAGAGCTCATTTGTAGGCCCATCGGCCATATATCGCTCTGTCATCTTTATTTGATGATGAAGAGCTCATTTGTAGGCCCATCGGCCATATATCGCTCTGTCATCTTTATTTAATGACGAAGAGCTCATCTACAGGACCATTGGCCATATATCGTTCTGTCATCTTTATTTGATGACGAGGAACTCATTTGTAGGCCTCTGAGCCACATCTTGCTGCATCATCTTTATTTGATGACGCGAAGCTCATGTACAGGCCCATCGGCCATATCTCGCTCCGTCATCTTTATTTGATGACATGGCGCTCTCATATAGGCCTCTCTCGGCCATACATCACCCCGTCATCTTTATTTGATGATGTGGGGCTCTCATGTAGGCCTCTCGGCCATCCATCGCCCCGTCGTCTTTATTTGACGACGTGGAGCTCTTATGCAGGCCTCTGAGCCATACATCGCCACGTCGTCTTTATTTGACGACGTGGAGCTCTTATGCAGGCCCCTCGGCCGCACTATCGCCCCGTCGTCTTTATTTGACGACATGGAGCTCTTATGCAGGCCCCTCGGCCGCACCATCGCCTCGTCGTCTTTATTTGACAACGTGGAGCTCTCGTACAGGCCTCTCGGCCCATCGGCCTTACGTTCTGGTCATCTTTATTTGATGAACCAGACATCGTATTGTGGACGGTCACTCGACCCATCCCTTAGTCATCTTTATTTGATGACTAGGACTACTGATCATGATGAGCTACCCACATCTAGAGATCGGCCTCGACCATCCAGCAGACGGGCACCGCTGCAGCTCCATCTCCAGGCCGAAGGGCTCGCACCTTTTGTTTCATTTTGGGGGCATCCGGTGTACTCTTTTTCCCTCATTAGGTTTTTTTCCCACAGGGTTTTTCCTAATGAGGTTTTTAACGAGGCATCTCCCCATCGTGGATCAAAAGGTGTCAACCCTCGGCCCCCTGTTGAAGACATCATCCGACACGCATTACTCTACTCCTCTTCACCTCATTACACTCGCCTCAAGGAGTGGGGGACTGGGAGATCGGGGGACTTAGCGCCTCCGTTAACCAAAGAAGCAGAATTTCAAATTTTTGTTCATGAAGTTTACTCACCAGACGGCGACAGATCAGCACACAGTTCTACTCTCTTTCGCCTCGAATACTCTCGACTCAGAGAGTGGGGGACTCCTGATAGAGTATATAGACTCGGACCCCCGGGTCTCACGACTATTGGACCCGGACAGCGGCCCACATACGCTCAGTAGATAGCATTTATTTCGTTGTACACTCCATTTTATTCATGTATACCCGTTAGAATAGATTAAATACCATTTGTTAGCCATTTATTGGCCTTTTATTGTAAATGGGTCTTTCAGGCCCAAGCCTGGAAGCCCAGCCCGCTTTTCTCCTATAAATACTCCCTAAGGGAGTCATGTAAAGGGTTAGAAATTCATTATATGTATCACTTTATCTCTCTAACTCTCCCTTCTCTCTAGATAATTAATCTATCACACGCCCTTGTACAACACGCCCTTGTACAATTCCACCCAGAAGGTAATGAGTTACTCCTACAGCACGCCCTTGTACCCTAGTCAAAAAAGAAAGCTACACAAGGAATTATTAAATGCTGTAATAAAAAATTACGCATAGAGGAGTGTGCCTGGGGGAATGGCGATATTGTATTCGTTGGTGGCTCGGGGACCGGTGGTGCTTGCGGAGCACAGCGCGACGTCGACGAACGCGAGCACCATCGCCAGGCAGGTGCTTGAGAAGATCCCCGGGAACAACGACACCAACATTTCATACTCTCAGGATCGCTACATTTTCCACGTCAAACGCACCGATGGCCTTACCGTCCTCTGCATGGCCGACGACGTCGCCGGAAGTACGTCAATCTTTTGAACAATTATAATTTCATTATCCTTCGGATTTGATTTCAAATTTCCACCTTAGGTTTTGATTGATTTGGAATTTTATTTATAATGTGTTTTGTGTGAATTTGGATTTTAACCGTATTTTATTTAATTTTGATTTGAAATCAAATTAGTTGTTGATTTGATGAATTTTTCTGCATATCAAACCCGAATTGAATTGCATTTAGTGAGCTCTAATGATGAAATTGTTTGAATCAGCTTAAATTGGGTTTTTTTTTGCAGAAGCGGATGAATTGACTTATTCTGTTAAATTATGAAATACTTAAATGTAAGAGCTTGCTTAGTAACACTGAAATTGTCTGAACTTGTTGAAATTGATAAAATTCTGGCTGCAGCGACTGAATTGGCTGAATCTGCAGAATTACGGAAAAATTAGATTTAGGAATAAAATAAAGAGCTAAAATGATGACCACAGTTTCGACTAATTCAGTTAGAAAAGCAAACTCTAGCAACCTTAAGTATAAGTTATAAGTCCTATCAACCAATCAAAAGTCCATTGAATTCATGATTGGATCGAGGTCACTCATCTAGCAATAGGACATATAGATCAAACTACAATTGGTTAGCTAGCTCAACCTAAGTTCTTATAACCTCATATCTCTCCTCTATCTTTAATAATTGTCCGGTGTTGGACTCATTTTCTACCCTTAGCTTTAGCGATGTCTTTCTGAAAGATTTTTTGTTTGTGTACTCCATAGAATTTATGCATTCACTGTTTCTTCATAATTAGGAAGGATTCCATTTGATTTTCTGGAGGAGATTCACCAAAGGTTTGTGAGAACCTATGGCAGAGCAGTGCTATCTGCACAAGCGTATGCCATGAATGATGAATTCTCAAGGGTTCTTGCACAGCAAATGGAATATTACTCCAATGACCCAAATGCGGATAGAATAAACCGGCTAAAAGGTGAAATGAGTCAGGTATTCACTTGTGGATTACAGTCATATGAGTTTTCCATTTTTGGGTCTATTTAGTTAAACTCTGAAAGAAGTTTAAATTTCCTTCCACAGGTGCGCAATGTTATGATTCAAAACATTGATAAAGTTCTCGAGAGAGGAGATCGTTTGGAATTGCTTGTTGATAAAACTGCTACAATGCAAGGAAACACTTTGCGCTTCAAGAGGCAGTCCCGGCGCTTTAGGAGTGCTGTATGGTGGAGAAATGTTAAGCTTATGTATGTTAATCATTCTTCCATGATTGTGCGTGTTATCTTCTTGGTAATAAAAGTCTGAGTCATGACATTATCCACAGTATATATTGAAAGTTGGAACACTACAATTGTTTTTACCTTTTCTAATGGACCGAGTCCGTTATAACAGCTTTGTGAAGAATTTTGCCATAGACTTTCCTGATTTCGTCATAAAATCCCTTACAAGATTTTGTAACTTCATATTTTTGCGGTGCTAAAACGATAGATGGAGAGAATCGCCTTCTTATATAGTTCAACTATCTTGGTAAAGAATGTAATTAATCAGCTGCTGTATATCAGGAAGCTTAACTTTTCCTGTTCTGTTCCTTTAACTGTGTTAATTGTTTTGTTTTTTGTTTTTGTGCAGAGTTGTGGTAACATTCCTCGTGCTGGCCCTCATCTACGCTATTTTAGCCTTCGCTTGTCATGGGCTTGCACTTCCATCCTGTTTGAAGTGATCAAAATTCAGCTTCCAACGTCTTTCTCCTTAACTCGTTGTTTCATACATGTAAATTATACTCTGTATGTTTTTATATGTATATGTGTATGTATATCCACTCTTTTACGTCATAAAATGAAATTTTACATGTACAATTGTACAGAACTATAAATAACTTGCAAGCAAACTTGCAATCAAATTGCTCATATAATCACAATTGATGTAAATGTAATTTGAAATGTTACTTCAATTCTTTGTGTTTGTATTTGGAGCATGAACTCTTTCAAATTCCTCAAGGTGATCGAAGGGGACGACACTACGTAACGTGCACTTTTAGTTTGTGGCCGGAGATTGCACAGTTGTAACTTGTCCAAGTTATAATTTCTTCCAGAGCTATTAGTTTCTCCCAGAGCCAACTGCACTTGATACAAATCATAAAATATTATTTGTTTCATACAATTAAGACTTGGACTTTGTTTCTATATAAGTAAATAAATGGATATGATATAAATAAATAAAGTTGATAATGGCCATTAGAATCTTACTTGGTTCCCATATAAAGTATAAAAGTCATATTTATCCATTGCTTACATTATATTCATATATGCATCATTACTTCTTACTCCGTATATCCCATGTTAATGTTCATGATTTGCATTTTGCTTAATTATGCTTTAGCTTTTAGCTGCTTCAACTAACACACAAATTTCCGATTGCAAAAAGCTGAGCTTGCAACGACTATATTACTATATTAGTAATCAATGATCTATTATTAAACCACTAACTTATTAATTAACTCCCTTTAATTATATTGTCATCCTTTTGTAATTATTCAGCCTTGAATTGTTAACTGACTAATTAGAAAACCATTTGCATCTCATTACGACCAAATAAATCTTTTTACATCCTGATCGAAACAACTACTTGGTTGTTTTCGTTTCAGACGATTCGAATTATATTTTTACGTACAACAACAACGACTGGCATTTGATTTATAAAAGAGTAAATTCCCTAAATAGGAGTAAAAAGTTTTGTAATTCCAAAATAGGACTATCATGTTTTTTATTTCTTAAACAAGAGTAAATTTCTGTCAAGTTTGGCATTACTGGGCTTTTAAACATGACATTTTTTCCCAAACTTGGCAGATTACTCTTATTCAAAGAATAAAAAACATTATACTTCTATTTTGGAATTTCAAAACGTTTTTACTCCTATTTATGGCAATATGTAATTATAAAAAGGTGACAACTCTGGTACTCATTTGAAAAATGGGATACCGCCGTACTGTACCTATCATTCACTTGATTGGTCCACATCATTATATCATTTTTAATTTAGATTTAAATAATTCAACTGTAACATTTTCATTGGTCCATGTCGACAAAGGTATGATACCTTGTGGGTACCGTAGAATCTACCTTATAAAAATAGTAACTCCTGCAAAAAGAACAAAAAACACGTAAATAATTTCATCATACAACAAGTAAAAAAACAAAATAAATTTATTAAGGTTAGTTCAGGACATAAAAAGAGAAACGGCTGGGAATCTACAACAAAAAACATCATCAATATACAACAAACCAAAGTTTAATTCACTACAAAAGAATTACAAAATTGACAGGAATTCCTCAAAAATCATAGAGAATATAGCAGGAATGTGCAAATCCGTGTCAAAAAAAATTTGGTACGAACTATTTGTTACTAAATCATCAATCAGTTCGTATTAAATCCATGTTAATCTCGTGATTTTTGTGATGGTGAAAAACAACAACGTCACATTACAGAAGCATTTTATTACAATAGGCGGCTAAATTTTAACTAAGATATTGGGGGTGTTTGGCAATTGGCCGTCGGCTGTTGGCTGATTCTGATTCTACTTCAAAAGTCATAAATTATGATTCTATTCCAAAAGTCATAGCAAACCCCAACGCGTTAACTACTTCAAAATTCAAATAAATGAAGGTAACCCGGCCTTCACGTATAGTTCATTTTTGTGAAGTAGCTAGTCAAGAAGTTGAGATTATTCCTCATAATTGTTTTTTGGGAATTATTTTTGTAGGATTCATTGGAGTTTTTTTCGAGAATAATACTAATTATATAAATAATTCTCGAAATACTAATGGGTTAAAAATAATTCTCAAAATATTGTTGTAGTTAACCACGGTTAAAGAAAGTCGTCACTCGAAGTAGCAGTTCTTCTGTCTAGTACAAAAGCCACCACTCCAAGTGACGGCTCTTACGATTAAATGAAAAAACCCTACTTCCAACAGTGTAGTTAACAAAAAACCTGTTCATTACGGTGCATTCAACTCAAAAACAATAAACATCTGATCTTTATAGTTAATATGCATTTCTACAAAAACAAAAGATATTTGAGACACAACAAATCAATGAAACTTCATATTACTAAATGCAGTTTAGGGAAGTTGAAATTAGTTTGAAGCATATTACTACATATTTAGGGGGTGTTTGCAACATACTAAAACAATGTGTTCAGTGTTCAGTTTAGAGAAGTTGAAATTAGTGTTTTCAAATTAATTTGGGGGGTGATTGGATTTGATTTTTAAAATTGTTTTTGCTCCTTCAGGGAGCAGAAGCAGAAGTTGGAGTGTTTGGGTAAAAGTGAAGAAGTGATTCTGGTGCTCTAATTTACTCCTAGAATCATTTTTTTTAGAAGCTCGGGGTGATCAGCTTCTGAAAACTGATTCTGATTCTGCTTCTGCTTTAAAAAAGAATCAGAATCAGTTCCAAACACCCCCTTAGTTCTATTTAAATTAAACAGTTTAATAGAGGTTCTTCTAACTGCTTCTCATTTTTGTAAATAATTTGAACTTTGAGGAAGTGTTATAAAAATAAGTATGTTGGACCAGAGGCGGATCTGCTTTGTTCGGGAGTATTCATGTGAACATCCAAAATTTTAAAAATACAATACAAAAATACACGTTAAGAATTGTAATAATTTTTTATGCAATAGCTTAGTGGTAAAATAGATTTGAACACCCAAAATCTGATTGCAAGATCCGCCACTGTGTTGGACTACACCGAAAATACCCTTGTTTCTCATGCTTCTGTCGTATCATCTTACCCTTCGGGCACCACTCTTACATAGGGATGGCAACGGGGCGGATCGGGGACGAGTACACATAAAATCGAAATCGCCCCGTTGGATAAATGTTTGCTCCGAAATCGCCCCATTACCCGTTCGGGTAATTTTATTTGAACTGTACCCGCCCCAACGGGGAATAGGTTTATTCACGGGTAACCGTTTCCCCAAATGCTCTTAAATAAGCAATTTCTAATCCCAATGTAAACATCCTTCATAGTAAATTATATATTCAAAGCCCCAATTTCTTTTTCAATTTGCATCTCATTTCGTATACACCCTTACCCACTCCGTATCCAATTTTGCTAAATCTTAATGATGTAAAAAACTACAAAATTGGACATCGAGCAAACTCACCAAACTGTAATACACACTCTGTATTAATCACAAGATAGGCATAGAACAAACTCACCAAACTGTAATATACACACTCCATATTAAACACAAGAAAACTTACCTTTGGCAGCGAAAATAGAAGAAAGAAGGAATTAGATAGAATCCTTGATAATGACAGAGATTAGAAGCCACTGATGGTAGAACTGAACTGCAGGCCTAGCATCATTCCATCTAGAAGAATCGAAGAAAGTTGTTCTCGCCGTTAAGAAGCAGAGCCTTGAGCCGTAAATCTGTATTCCGTGATAGACTCTGAGTTAGGGATGTTAGGATTTTTAAAGTGGGCCTCTGGTGTAATATTCTTTATATACTTATACGAGATATACGATTTAGTGTATACAATTTAGTATATATACTTATTATTCTTATATATAGAGAGTTATAATTTATTAATAATGTTACGAATCGGGTAACGGTGTGGATACCCGCACCATTCATGAACGGGGCGGTTTCGGGGCAGATAACGGGGTGGGTTAGTATAGAACCATAATCGCACCATTATCCATTTTAAAAAAACGGGTATTCCTCGCCCCGTACCCGTTCCCCAGTCAAACCGGTTTTCCCCATTTTGACCAAACCGGTTCGGTGCGGGTATCCAACGGTTCGGCCGGAATTGCCATCTCTACTCTTACACACCTCTTAGCTTTTTACATACAACTTCAATTTTTCATGTTTGGTGATTCACAACTTTTATCATTAAAATGTTTAATTCTCTATTAATAAAAAAATAAAAAACCGAGATTTAACAATATTTTTTTAAAATAAATCATTAATATATTAATAAATAAAATGAAGTTAAAGTAGGACATGTGAATAGTGTAAAAACTAAAAAGTGTGTGTGTAAAGAACATATATACTTGTATTTCATTCCTTCTTGATTAGTTGTAACTTTCTAACTTTCACACTTGATTACGCTCAACTTTGATCATTAATATGTTTAATAGACTATTACTAAAAATCACAACAAATATTCTCAAAATTTACATTGAATCTAAGAAATCATAAAATATACATAGTCCTTGTATTTCATGCGGAGTATATAATTAGTTAAACATTAATACGTAGTACCATCTATCTAAAATGAAGTCAAAGTAAATTACGTGAATAGTCCAAAAATTAAAATTGTTGCCATGAATAAATTAAAGAAGGGAGGTAAGTGTGTGTGTATATATATATATATATATATATATATATATATATATATATATATATATATATATATATATATATATATATATATATATATATATATATATATATATATATATATATATATATATATATATATATATATATATATATATATATATATATATATATAAACGGCATTATTGTATACATTAAAACAGAAGTTTAGAGGGATGAGGGAGAGAGGTGGAGGGGAAGGAGAAACGGAAAGTAGCAGCAACAATGGTGGAAATATTATGTCTGCTTTTCTTTGGGTATTATGTGTTACGCTTTTTGTTTGGGGTTTAATCACTATAAATTATTTCCGAGTTGGTTTTTTTCAAGGAAATGTTATTCACCTCCATTCCTTCAATAATGGCTTCAACATTTCCAACCCATTAAATGTTATTCACCAAGTTAACACCAGTAATATGGAATTGAAGAAGGCAGCTACCCTCACCGGAGAATCGCCGGAATATTCTCCGCCGCCCACTCCATATGTTCCTCCCAAGGTTACCAACTCAATATATCGTATTACCTCGTTCTACAAAATTTGATCAAATTGACGTTTTTCTGCACATTCGTAC